AAAAAAAAAAAGTAAGGATGTCGTGGCACCGCTTTATGCAATTTTGGGACAGACAACCAAACTCATTTCTATTGCTATGATTTTTCCAGAACCATGCTGATGAGAATGAATTCTGTAGACTGCAGGAAGGCAATGTCCTTGAGCAGCTTTCTGAAAAGAACCTTATATAAGTTGAAAAAGCAGGAGGTACCATTCTCTTCCTGCAGGAACTCACCCCCTCTTGGGTCCTAGTCTCTGGAAAAAAGATTTTTTTAACTTGGTACCCATCCTCACCTTAGCACTGATACAACATTTTCAACAAGCACACTGTATGTCAGGCCAAGGACTCCTCTCTGTTGTTCCTGTCTGCCTGTCATTTGGTTTCTGTACTGTCATCTGTCTCCTTGTGCTGCCCTTTGAGCTCTTCCTTTGCTGAAAGCCCATTCCCCTTTTTCTCTCTAAGTAGCAGCATTTGTTGCTAATTTACCTTCATTCATTCCCCCATAATTTCCCTTTCTTTGCAATGATTTTAAAGGTCTCTCTTGTTGGGCATTTTGGAAATTAAGAAACACAGTTTTGTTATACCCAGTCTCTCTCTACCACATACACTGGTATGTATAGCCAGGCTTTGTATCTAGCCCCAAACCATCTTTGCTGTGCATGTTGGCCTGGAAGGGCAGGTGCCATGGGCTTCAGTGGGCAGAGTACACATTTCCCAGAGTGTTTGACCATGGGTGCACACAAGATCCAAACAGATTCGTGCCAAGATAAATACCCACCTCAGGCCCACAGCCAGTATATTGAAGCAACTCTTCATTTTTGGACAGGAGAAGCAGTGGGGCCTCTGCCCTGCTGCACACGAGATCCAAAGGGAGCCATGCCAAGATAAATACCCCACCTCAGGCTTGCAGCCAGTATATTGTAGCAACTCCTCATTTCTGGACAGGAGAAGCAGTGGGGCCTCTGCCCTGGAGCACAGCTCCCCAAAGCACAGTCAAGAGCCTTAGCCAAGACTGGAACTTCCTTTGATACTGGGGCACACTGAATGCTTTTTGCTTAATTGCCTGGGACAGACACAGGATTTGAGACCTATGGGGAAAAACAATCCCATCCCCCAACAGGACTTCTCAAGTCTGTCCTTTGGTGAAGCTGTGTTTTCTATGACACTAGAGAAGCTGGACTGGGGCCTGGGAGGGCAAGGAGCTCCCAAGCAACACATCAGGCTTCAGCACATACTTACAGATGATGGTGAGAGTTACCAAGTTGATGGTGAGGGAATCCATGATTCCTACAGCTTTCTGTCGTGTTAGCCATAGCTGGCCAAGGGGCTGTCAGTGCTGGCTGGCCAGCAAGCGCAGATGTTGATCAGTGGCTGCTGGCCAGCTGGCCTCTGCAGCCAAGCCCTGCTCTGCTTTTGGTCAGCAAGGATGCTCACTGCATCTCTCCCCATCAGCCATTGAGCCTCATGAAACCTAAAAAGGGTAGGAAGGGCGTGCTGATTGCATGAGATATGGGATAGGATGCCTCATGGCAGCAGCCCCTGCACAGCTCCCTATTACATCAGCCACCCCACTGGTTTACAGCCCTTGCCCTTGAGCCTTGGCCCTGCAGCCTGATGTGGTGTGGACACATTGCACAACACCCCTGGCCCCTCTCCCCTTTCCTGCTGGGGCTGCCCACTGGCTGGCTGCTGGGAAGTTGATCTGTTGCAGCAGTCTGCAGAGTCCCAACATGGAGGAGAAGATGCTCCATCCACTCATGTCTCCAGCAGGGCACTGAGGAGGTGGCAGGATCAGGAAGGGTCCCCGAGGACCTACTCAAGCCTGCTGGTAGAGTGGCTCTTAAGGGAACATGGCAGGGGAAAGAGAACCCCTCTGGAAGGTTGAAGAAGCTCAGCCTCCCCCCAGGCAGCAAACCAGCAGGGTGCATCCAAGAGGTGCAGGAGCCACCATGTCCTGTACCAGGATGTGCTGGGGTAAATACCCATTGAATGAGGAAGAAAAGCCAAGTGAGACCCTCCTTCCAGAGTTTCTGTCATGGATAGCACTAGTTCTTACAACACTCCCCCAAAGAGAAGCAAGGTGCAGCTTCTTTCTCATGCCAGAGAGAGCTCCTTTCTCATCCCTCTGCAAAGCAGGAGGGGTGTGGGGAAATCACAAAGATCACTGCACAAGGCCCCAAGGCCATAGCACTGAGCTAAATATAGCCACTATCTTGGCTTCCCAGAGATAAGAGCATGTGTCCACAGACTGCCACAATGCCCTGCCCAGACGTCCACCTACCTTTGCTTCAGGGGCAAACACAAGCCACAGTTGTGCAACACCCTGCCCCCGCTCTCAGCAAACAGAAGCAGAAATGCACCCTGAGCCACCTCATGTGCATTCCGTGCCTGGCACTGTGGGCTGGCTGGGCAAAGCCCGCACAGCCCAGAGGTGATCCAGCATCTCCCTTGGCACCTCCATGGTGCTGAGCTGCCAGCAACACACAGGAGAAACTTGTGGTGGACCAGAGTGACAAGTGTGAGTCAGGTCGGGGCTTCCATCAGTTTTGGGGCTCATCCCATTAAGTCCAGCACTTCCACCCAAACCTCCCTGCACCAGTGACGCTGAGCCAGGATGTAGTGGCTCTGCCTGGAGAAGGGGCAGCAGCACTGGAGGAGGTCCGTGGGCCATGTTCACCTTATTCCATGTCTGTCTCCTGGGGAAATCTGAACATGGGTCCCTTCATCTCTGCTGTAAACCCTGTCAATAAGTAACACATGCTAAAATCCCACCATACCCTCAGTACATGAAATATTATTGTAAATCTGCAAAACTCCTGCAATAGGTACATCTTTCAGGTCTCTCTCCCCAGCTTTAAATGCTACCATTGATTTTATCAAAAAAGAGTTTATGAAACATAAAAAGTATGGTTTTTTTCCCCCCAACAAAACCCTTTTGCCTTGCAGAGTAATAAGTTTTTTAAATGGCAGCTTACAGCAGGAAGTCTCCAGCTTTAACAATAGCTGTCTGTGTTTCCACAAGTTAATGGAAAACAAATGTTGACACTTCAGTCCTGCTTTCTGCTTTGTAAGGAAGGTAAGAGAGAGCATTACTTGCAGCTGTGTAGTTAGAGGCCAGATGTGGCACAAAAAGTATCCTCACTGGGGAGAAGGTAAATGTACCATTCCTACTTTCCAGCAGGCTTTACAGCCTCTGCTGCTTTCCCATGGGGGTGGCATTTGTCCACAGAGCCACTCCCCTGACAGGGAGGCTGGCTCCATGCACACTTTCCAAATTATTGAGGACACTGTGCTCTGTGCTGACATGAACTTGGGAGCGCACCAAAGGAGCAGAAATGGGAACTGGAGGCAGGAGGACACTTGGGAAGACCCCTTGGCCCAGCTGCCCCTGCAAACCAGTCTATGACAGAGCATGGACTCACCTGGCAGATGTTTTCAGGAAGTTGGAAGCACCTTTCCAGCTCTGTACATGGGCTGAATAGGGATTCCCATGGAGCCGATCTCTTTGTCAGCCAGTCCCTCTTGGTGATTTTTCCTCATGGACGGAAGCCACCTCTACAAAAAAAAGGCATTTTTTCCCCACTGCACATTGTAAATATTGTCTGGAAAGCAGATTTTTGAGTATTCTCTGGAGATTTCTACCCAGGGCCAGCACAGCACTGGCGCTGTGGCCACAGGATCAGAGTGTGAGAGTTGCCCTCCTCCCCACCTGGCCCTGAGCACCCAGACACCCTGGGCCAGCTCAGACAGGAAGATTGGTGCCCCAAAAAGGCTTTCCTTTCTCAAGAGCACATTCCCATGGGTTTAGCTGCTTACTTTTGGCACCTGGAAAGCCTACTCTGCCCTTCTCAGTTTTGGCTCCTCCATTCAGGAAGGACACTGAGGTGCTGGAGCAGGCCCAGAGAGGGGCAACAAGACAGGTGATGGGTCTGGAACAAAAGTTCTTTGAGGAGCAGCTGAGGGAGCAGGGCGTGTTTAGTCCACAGAATACAAGGCTCAGGGGAGATCTTAATCAATGTCAGCAAGTACCTGAAAGGAGCCTCTTCTCCCAGGTAACCCCTGACAGGACAAGAACACACAGTCTTAAGCTGCAGCAGGAGAAGTTTAGGTTGGACATTAGAAGGAATTTCTTTACAGAAATGGTGGTTAGACATTGGAAATGGCTAAAAGGGCGTTGGTTGCCCAGGGAGTTGGTGGAGTCACTCTCCCCAAGGTGTTTAAGGAAAGACTGGAACTAGCATTTAGTGCTATGGTTTAGTTGATATTGTGGTGTTTGGTTGCACTCAATGATCTCAGAGGTCTTTTCCAGCCAAATTGATTCTGTGATTCTGGACACACAGGGACAGCAACCTGGCGCAGGAACCGACGGATAGTGAGGGGCTGGCGGCAGCCGACGCCTGACACAGAGCTCGTCACTTTATCAAAAGGAGCTTGCCCTGCCCCGGGGGAGCCCCGCCGCTGCCCACGGCACTCCCGCACCAGCCGAGCCCCGGCCCTGCGCGGCCCCTCAGGACCCGCCGGGCCGGCCACGCCCCTTCGCGTGCCGGGCTCCCGCGTTCGGAGCGCGCTGATTGGCTGTCGCCCGGGGGGGCGGGGCCGGGCAGCCTTAAGAGGCCGGCGCGGGGCCCCGCGCGGTGCGAGGCGGTGCTGCCGGACCGGCCCCATGCACTGCACCAGGTACGGGCGCGCCGCCCCGCCGCGACCCCCGGCGCTGCCGCCGCTCCTCCTCCCCTCTGCCTTCCCCGCCTGCTCGGCTTCGCAGCCTCCTCCTGTGTGCGGGAGCGCTTCTGGCGCTCCCCGCCGCGGCGGTGCTGTTCCTGGGGGAAATCGGGATACCGCGGCTCAGCTCCTGCAGCCCCCCGGCTGAGCCGGGAACGGCAGCCCCGGGCCGGCGGCGCTGCCCCTCCGCGGGGCTCTGCTGCCGCCTCTCCCGGGTCGGGACGGCGCGGCTTGGCTGCTGTTGCGGAGGGGGCGGGCTGTAGCGAGTGAGCCCCGCCGGGCAGACGCCTGAGGGAAGCGGGCTGTGCCCGCGGGGAGGAGCAGGGCGTGCGGAGCCACCGAGCGCTGCTGCGGCCCCGCCACGGCTGCGAGCTCTGCCGCCGCAAGTGCTGCGCGCCCGGCCCCGCGCCACGGCCGCCTGTCCCCCGGCAGCGTGGGAAGCAGAGCGGAGGTAACCGGGGGGTTCGGTAAGGGAGGTGTGAGTAATTCCTTGGCTCTGGCTTAATTCTCCATCGTAGAATGGCAGGAGGGAGGAATGAGTGGCGACAGACGTCCTCCTCTGGAGAGGGTAAAGCTACAGGAAGAAATCCGGAGGCAGAGTCGAGTTTGTTCTCCTTTGGAGGGGTGACGGAAAGAGATTGGCCCCTGTACCTGCACATGGCTCCCTGCCTTGCACTTTTTGCTTCCTGGACCTTTATTTCCTGAATGAGCTCTCAAAACTCTATTCCTGCTCCCACCTCCAAAGCATCTGGAGTTCAAGACAATCCTCCTCAGCCCCAAAAGGGGAAACCTGCCTCTGGCAGAGAGCTAGGCATCAGCAGACTCTCCAGTGCAGAAAAAGTTGTCTGGGATATGAGATGAACCGGCAGTTCATAAAAGCACAGGGTTCACACTCATAGTTGGTTATGAAAAGCTCTTACTATAGTTTTTAGCTTGGGAAAAAGCTCCAAGTTATGCAGCTGGACATTCTATGCCTCTGCATTCTAAAACTGAATAACCAAGGCTTACTATGAAACCTGGCTTCTCAGAAGTTACAGTAATTCAGCTGAATAAATTTCCCTGGGAAAATATGCAAGGCAGATGATACTGACCCAAGTAAGAGAAGAAGCATTGGAAGCTGCATTAATTTAAAGGAGGAAATGACCTGTAAAAAGTGTGTATGAACAAAACCTTGGCAAAACAGGTAGAGATGAGCAGGATAGTGTTAGCAGACAGGTGGATCTGAGGTGTCTGTTGTGCAGCTGCCCTTGAGCTGAAAGGAGGCACAGCAGAAGTTGGCTGGTGGGTGTGTTGGGATGTGAGCCTTGGCACATGTGCTCTGAATAAACAGATACCCTTGCTGAGTGGATGCTGTGAAAGGCTGCTCAGAGCTGCTGTGTTGGTGTTACAGGGTGGGGAGCTAAAGCACTGAATTGGAGAGTGTGGCTCTTGCTTTTTCTTGGCACGAGAGCAGCAATCAAGTACTAGAGCTGGCTGTGCATGGCTTTGGCAGCCAGAATTCTGCTGCATCACAAGGCCAGTGGTCACTGCTGCTGTTGCTGCCTCATTCCTCTGGTGTGGTGGGAGCAGCTTTTGAGCCTGGCCTGCTGCCAAGCAGGATTTTTATTAAGGGAATACGTTGTGTTTAAATTCAGCTGCAATACAGTTGACTTAATGGGGATGTGTGTGATAAATCCATCCAGCAGTTTATCCAGAGCCAGGCCAAAGAGAGTCTGCCAAAAGCATCCATTGGAACGTCAGTGTAAGGGCAGGAGTGATAGGTGCAGTGTTCTGGGAGCTGCCTGGCTGCAGAGACATCTCCAGGTCTACATCTGGCAAAGTGCCCTTCTGAGAGTTGGTGCTGCATCCCTGGAGGAATGGGCTGGGTGCTGGAGGGGAGGCTGTAGTGGAGGGGCACATGGCCTGTGCCTTCTGGGAGAAGGACTTGCTTCCAAAGCCTCAGTGAACCTCGAGTAGGTGAGTTGTGTTTGGCAGAGCCCTGTGGCTGTATGGATGTTTTCCAGGGACTTAGCACAAACCCTGTGGAGGCTTGGGGCACAGACTCTGGGCTGGAGGTAAAACTGGTTGATGTGCCTCCTGAGCTGATCCTTGTTTTAAAATGGAGTAGAGGGAAGAAAGCTCCAGAGCAGTGTTGGCTAAGCCTGTGCCCTGCTGCTGTGTCAGACTGTTGCTATCTTTACAATACTGCTGAGAGGCACCTTGGATGGAGCCGTTTTGGGGGACAGTGATGAGCAAAGTGTGTAGCTCAACTGAATGAATGCTTTTTGGCTAATATCTGAGGTTTTATGAGAGGTGAATGTGTATGGCAGCTTGTGACAAACTGAGTACCTATTCCTACAAAAGCTTGTGAAGCCCTGGGGAGAATCTCTCCTGGAGGGAGGAAAGGACAGCACGGATACTGCTTAACGTAGCACTGAAATTTGATAATCTGGGGATTTTGTGAGCACTGGCAGTGTTGAGCCATGGGCTTTGCTTTGGATTGCAAATGCTCTGGAGCCTGCTATTGCTAGCCTACTAGGACAGTGCCTGTGTGTGCCTTCAAAGGGTAACTCTGTCCCTGTAGCAGTAGGAAGAGCTGTTCAAGGGCACAACAGGCACTGGTCCTGCCACTTCTGTAGTGTTTTTCTCACAGTGCCTGTAAATCACACCATGCAAGTACCTGCCTTTAATTAAGAAGCAAGCTTATTTGGGATGGCTTGGGGGGGAAGTGATATATCAACTGTCTGACAAAATTTGTATTAAAGTGCTTTTCTGGCATCAACTGACCCTTCTTCTTGTCTTCCAGAGTATTAGACTATTTCCCTCACAAGCAAGCAATGGCTGTGGACGTTGCAATGCAGCTGTACCTGTGCTCCCCACCCTTGCGAAGAGAGAAGTGTGCCTGCAAAATTGCTCCAAAGCCAAGCAAGCCACTGCGGCCCTGCATCCAGCTGAGCAGCAAGGCTGCGCTGAATGGCCCAGAAGAGGCAGCAAACTCCTTCACACACAGCAAAGTGAAGAAGAGGGTGTCGTTTGCAGATAGCAGAGGATTCGCTCTGACAATGGTGAAGGTGTTCTCAGAGTTTGAAGATCCACTAGATATTTCTTTCAACATCACAGAGCTGATAGACAACATCGTGGGCCTGACAACAGTGGAGAAGGACAGCTTTGTCCTAGATTTTATTCAGCCCTCTGTAGACTATCTGGACTTCAGAAAGCGTCTCCAGACAGACTGTGTCTGTCTGGAAAACTGTATGCTAAAGGAGAAATCTATTGTGGGAACACTGAAGGTGAAGAACCTCGCTTTTGAAAAGATGGTGAAGATCCGGATGACGTTTGACACGTGGAAAAGCTTTGTAGATCACCCGTGCCAGTATGTCAAGGATACGTATGGAGGGTCAGATCAGGACACGTTTTCCTTTGACATCAGATTGCCTGCTGGAATCCAATCACACGAAAGGGTTGAGTTTGCCATTTCCTTTGAGTGCAATGGGAAGGTGTACTGGGACAACAACAGGGGCACAAATTACAGGATCATACGGTCAGAACTGAAGTCTGCCCAGGAAGCCGTCCGGCCCCCACAGGCTCCTGACTTTGGCAGTGCATTTGACCGGTTTGGGAGCCCTCGGTGCTCCTATGGCCTCTTTCCTGAGTGGCCCAGTTACTCAGGCTATGAGAAGCTCGGGCCCTACTATTGACCCAAGGACAAAGGCCAGGCTGACTAACTGTTGCTGGTGTGTCTGCAGGCCTTGGGGCTGGTCTGACCACAGGTGTATGAATAGGTGGAAGAAGTATGGCTCTGTGTAGCTTAGCATAAGCCTCCCAGCAAAACCAGATGTGCTCTGCTGGCAGGGGGCTTATAGTCAGTCTGGCTCTCCAGATGATCAGAGGACCAAGGACTGCTCATATCTCTTCAGCAATTCTTCTTCCTCTTCAGTAAAGATGCTGGTGTCCAAGGAAACACTACAGTGCTTACATTGCCTGTTCAAGCTGTGTAGTGGTGGCTGCTTTGTATTTCTTGCCTAGTATTAAAAGGCTCTTTCAAAATATTTCCTAGTATTATATTGTTAGTGGGCTCTACTACAGCTGCAGGGTTCTCCTTGCAAAACCAGCCTGTGCCTGTCAGGAAATAGTGTGGTTGGATTGCTGGGAATGGAGTCCTCTCTTTGCACATATCCTTGTAGTGAGGCCCTTCCTACTGGAGGCAGAAAGCATGTTTGGGTAGTGAAAATGCAATGTGATGACAGGAAGTGTGGCCCTACAGCCTGCCGAATTAGGAGATGTGCCTGTGGCAGAGGATCTGATATGCTTAGTCACTGGTTGTTATATCAGATGATCTTGAAAATCTCTCATACCATTTGTGTTACCAAAAATAGCGATTAGCTGTGCGGTGCTTGTAACACAACTGTGGATTGACATCCCTGACTGCCTTCTTTAAAAACTTCCTGTTTGTTTAATCACAAGTGATCAATGATGCTTTTTCCCCTCGATGGATGTCTGAAGTTGGCTGTGCTGGACCCTGAAAATGCATTTCATCCTCCTGTGGACTGTAAACCAGAGTTCTGTCCAGCTGGGATGGAACTCTGCTTGGGTGTTACAGGAGCTAAACACAAACAGACCCCATGGCTGTCTATGCTGTGTCCTGTACAGGAAAGTTGTGTAGCTACTGTGGTGGAAGTGCCTTGACTGAGAAAGGGGTGGTATGTGCAATCCCAGCAATGCTTTGGGATGAACGGGCTTTGGAACTGATGTTGTTTTTAAGATCTGGTAATGGTTTGTTACTCTGTGCCATGGAGTGCTTGGTAGATAAAGGCAGCACTGCTCGCATGTGAGAGCGCTGTGGCTGTCCTGGATGAGCGTGCTGGGCTTCCCTCTCTGCTGAAGCAGTATCTGCCAGTTTGACCTGCAAATGCCCAGACTTTGCATCTCTGACCATAAAATGTGTCTCACCTCACCTATGCAAAGAACTAGCCACGAGGAGAGTGAGATGTGGGGTTATCCTGACAGCACCCCTGCATGTGAGACAGATCACAGATGTGAGCCATCCGTGTGATTAAAGAGGTGGCTTGTCTTCTGGATGTGTGCTGGGATAGTGAGCTTGGCAGTGCCAAACAGCCTCACAGAGCTTCTTGGGTGCTAGTCTAGCAGAATAACTTTATCCCTCAGCTCAAAGAGAGAGTGCTGAACAGTCTGTAGAAATAGAGGTCAAGGGAATGCTACTTTTTCTAGTGCATAAGCTTTACATAATTTTTGGGTGCCTCTAGTAGCCTGTGGATGTGCTGGAGAGAAGCAACAGGCTAGACTACTTAGCTTTGTTAACATAGCTTTTAATTTTGGAGACTACTGTACAAATACTTAGAAGCTGTTTTACTCTAACCTAGAAGGGATACTGGGATCACTTGTTGGATATCAAAAGGGACAGAAGGTTGCAGGAAGAATAGCTGGCCTTCAACTGCTGCTTTTTCAAAATACAGAATCAGTATGTGTCTTCAGTGTGCCTGATCACTTAATCGAGGTGATGAATCTACTTGCTAGCCCAGAACTCTGGGGTTTGGTTCCTCTGTTCAAACAGCTTCCCAAATCGGCCCTTACAGCCTGAATCTGATCTCTCTGGAAGGGACTGTTGCCTAGCTTGGCTTGGTTTTAAACTTAAGGCAAGTTTGTGTGACACTGATACTTTTTATTTATTTAGTGTATGGTGTTGATGTTGTAAGACACTGACTGTAGGAAAGTCGTGTTCTCCTGGCACCTTCTTATGCCCATGGAGAGCTATTTGTGAGCCAGAACAAGGCATGTGGGTCTGGGGTGCTGTGGATGGTGATATCTCCTTATGGGCTTGTTTTCAGGCTGTGTCTTGGGTGTGCTTAGGGAGGAACATGGAAGATAAGCTAGAAGAGCAGTGCCATAAGTAAAAGCTAGGTTGGGAACTGACTATTTGATCAATAGCAGTTTAAAAATACTACTTGTGGCCTTTCCCCTTTTCCCTTTTTCCATTGCCAATGTGAACATAGAAGTGGGGGGGTTGCTCTCCTTGCTCTATGCCTGGAAGTGCCTTGTAGGATGTTTTGCATGTTTGTTTTTTAAAAGATATTTTTGTACACAACATTCAAGTGGAAAATGCACTTTATAATTGCTATGTAATGACTCTTTTAAAAATATGGCTGTTTTTATCTGATTGTTAAAATAAAGGTGGAACAAAATGTTGGCTGCATATCTTATTTAAGCACCCATGGGGCTGGGGAGGTGGTTTGGACACGGGTCCAGCTTCCTGCAAGTGGCCATTGGGAGGGAGGAGCACACATCCACCCTGAATTCTGCTGCCCGAAACAGGAAAGAGCTGCCTATTGCTGCTGCCTTCCTGCCAACACAAATGCTTTCATTGCCTCTGCAGCCCTGGGATGGGAGGAGCCCTGATCCTTTGCTCTGCTCCTAGGTTTCCCCACTAGTCACTGTGTTCCCGAAGTACTCTTCACTCTTCCCCTGCTTGCAGTGCTAGGAGCAGCCTTTTCGGGTTTCTCTGCTTTTGTTTTGACTCAATCTCCATTCTCCCTCTTCTCCCCTTCCCCCACCTCGGCTTGATCTGGGCTCAGTGCTTTACTCTGCCTGTGTACTGGCCTGTGATGGATGCTGGGAGAGGTGTTGCAGAAGAGGGGGTCAGACTCTTTTCTAATACCAGGACCAAGTGAAAGTTAGACCCCTCATAATGTCCAAGTTGTCACTACAATAAGAAGCACTACCAGGAAACATGCCCCTTTGCAGAAAGGGAACAGCTGATGTAAATGCCAGCCAGGACCAGTTTTGGCATTTGACCTGGCTTTCACCACAAAGATTGAGCCTTGGTGATGCTCTGAAGGTGTTGTATTTCAATCAGCTACTGAGCTGGGTGGGATTTGCTGCTTACAGATAAGGTAAGATAGAAAGGTGTGGGGGAAGGGGAGGAAGATGTGTTTGTCTTGGTGTGTGCTGGTTTGAGCAGCTCTGTGGGCAGTGCTTCCCATCTTACCGCAGAGCCTTGCAGAGGGTGAGCTTGGCCTTTGCTCTATACAGGGATAAAACCGAGCACCTTCTGACTGTGGCTCTTTCCGAGTCTCGCTGTCATAAGATTACTTTTTTAACCACTGTGGTTCTTTTAATCAAACGTACAACACAGGGCTCTTTTAAAAGGTAATTGGATTGTTTTTCTGGCTGCATAAAAGAAAAAAAAATTAAAAGGTATTTGTGTCGCTGCCTCAGGTGCTTGGGGTGGTTTGGCCAGGGCTGTTTTCACATCTGAATGCTGGCCCGAGCTCATGAATGAGAAAACTGCAGCCAGACATTTCCTGTAACAGCTTTGTGGTTGAAAACCCCGTGTGAGGACAGTTTCAGTTTAGGATATAAGGGAAGCCCAAGCCATCTAGGGTAGCCGAGGAGATGGTGCAACATTAGAAGGTCTGAGACAGCTCAACTCTGGGGTTTCTCCCTGATGCCCAGGTGTTAGATGCTAGATGATACAGATATTGTAATTGCTGCATTTATAAAGCCCTTGGTGGCAGATGTGATTGTGTACTTGCTGGTTATTATACAAAGATATTTTAGAATGCTCATGCCATTGCACCCCCTCCCACAACCACTTTTGTCTCTGTATCCTGAGAGATTTTGATGCCATCTCTGGGTAGATATAATTAAGCTGTGGTATCATGTTGATCTTGGATGTATTTGGAGGTTTGGGTTTCCAAAGTCTGTGTTCTGGGGACAGTTTGGTTAAGGAGAGGAGGGCAAATATTCCCCTGCTCCACATCCACCACCCACTGGCCTGGGGATGCTGTACTACAGGGGGGCAGCTGTGCTGAAGCACTGCTGTCACAGCAGCCTCTAGGGCATACTGGACTGCAGGTCCTGGGTTCAGTGACAAAGGTAGCACGTAGGCTCCCTGCACTTGCCTCCTGGCAGAGCAGAGTCCAAAATGTTGTATGATCACCCCACATTCTTGCTTCAGGTGTTTGCCATGGGAACCCATGCGGGGATGCTCTGGGGGAAAACTGCCCAGAATGAGATAATATGCAGAGGGACATGTCTCTTCCAAATCATGGGAGTGTAAATGTGCCCAGCTAGTACACTTTGCTGCTAAACCAAACTTTTCCTTGGTTATAAATGTAGCTCTTGGAGGCACCTGCAGTGGAAGGTGATGTGGAAATGCATCTGCCTTGGAACAGCATAAGAGGGGAGAAAACTAGAGCATGTCATTTCCCAGCAGCAGTCAATGGTTCTTCAGTTTTCTCTCCACAAAGAAGCAGCAAATTAGCCTCTCTAAGAGACTGGGTCTTTGGGAGAAAGTCTCTTGACCACAAGGCAAGGGATAAATGGGATCAGCATGTCCCCTGGAGTTCTCTGCTGCTTTGTAGTGTCTCCCTTGCTTGGGCACTGCCCTTTTCTCTCTTACACACCATGATGCTGTTTCCGGTGTAACCATCACCAGACTCAAGCATCAGCTTGATTTCACAGCGTATTCCACAAGCTTGTGTGTGGTCACAGGGGGCAGGAAGAGCACTTGTGAGTAGTGGGAGGAGGCTGTGCTGAGGACACAGCTCTCAGCAGCGCCAAGACCACCCTGTACCCCTGGGAGCAGCACAGAGCTTTGCCAAAAAGCCAGCAGCATGGGGCTGAGTTGTGATGCTCCCAAACTCCCCTGGTGTTTCCACAGCCTTGTTCCTATTGGGCAGTTCAGCTGGTTCTAAACTATTGCAATAAACCATATTTATGTCCTTGGGGTTTTTTTTGATGGAACGAAGCTTCAAACCAGCTGCTCTGGCCCAGCAAGGTTCTGCTGCTCTGCAGCCAGAGAAGCTGCCTAGCTTGTATTTATCCTCCCCCTTGGAGGGGCACACTGCCAAACAGTTAGCTGTCTTTAAAGACTGGTTATTGACATTTACACAAGGCTTAAAGAAAGAAAAAGGGTGTCTTTGTGGAAAAATAATTGCAGCTGGCCAGTTCCTTTGGCACAGATAAGTCAGACTAGTCACCAGTTTAAGTACTTTGGCTCCTGGAATGGGATCTGGGCAAGCCCTCCCAGCCAATGCGTTAGTCACGGATCTCTTCTCTGCTCTGATACCCCTGTGCAGTCTCAGGAAGAGGGAAGGCTCAAACTCCATAACTCAGGAGAGATATGTTTAAAGGGCATAAGAAAAGAGTGAAACATACATAAATGCTTTTATAGCTTCCACTATTTCTGGTGTGGGAATCTTGTTGAGACCATGGTGATGTCATCTACCTAGTGAATCCTTGACAGGCTCAAGTAGGAGGAGATCTCTGATATGTCTGCTCCAAGCAAAACCACTCTCACAGCTAACTGCAGTCACTCAAGGTCTCATCCATGTGGATGAACTCAATGATGGAAATGCCACCACACCTCTGTGCCCTGTCCCAGGGCTGCACTGCTCTCCTAGGGGAAAAGTCATGGTCCTCAGGAATCAAAGGACTCTGCACAATGTTATAGTCTTGACAAAACACCTGGTTTCTTCCAGGTCCTGGCCAGATTCAGGACATATGGATGTGTGGGTACAAGGTGAGCAGCCACAGGACAAAAATATTTCAGGGCTGGCAAGTCCTAATATGTGTCGTTTGGAGCAAGGGAGCAGCTGCTATATGCATACAGCAAGATACTTGCAATCCTGCAGTAAAAGGTAGAGCCATATTCTCAATACAGTTTCTGGAAAACCCCACTGTCAAGAGTCAAAGGCCTAAACTGACCTACAGCCCACTTTCCAATCTAAGCAAAACAGAGCCCAGTGTCCCTCCCAACACTCAATATTTAGCAGTTGGGAACTCATGATATCCTACCCCTGCTTCCCATCATTATGGGCCCTGCCAGAACAAAACTGGAGTGTTAGCAGCAGAAGTGTAACTCCTCAGTGTTTGTGTGGTGACACTCCAGTGCTATGGAGACAGCCACTTTCATAGGAAGAAATATAATAGCGCTCTCCAGTCCACTGAGGGTTTTACAACCATTCCCCTTTCACATGGTGTTCCCTTGGACATCTGGCAGGTGTTGCTTCTCCTGCATTTCCCTACTTGCTGTGAGTTATTGGCTGTGAGTGGCCATCAGAAATGCAGTGTTTCTTTATCTATGAGCTTGGCAGAATGTGTCCTTGGTGGTGTTGCAGGCCAGGCTTCAGGGTAGCTATAGGTGATGTGGCACCTTCCACACCTCATGCCACAGCACACTTGGTCACTGGGCTAGGAGACATTGGAATGGGTCTCCTTCTTGGGCTGAGGAGTGTCACAGTCCAGCTCCCTTTTCTCCAAGAAGCTGTCTTTGAGCAGATCAAGTCACAAAAGGAGGCAAGCTAAAACCAAATAAATCTACCAAACCCTCTGCTTCTCTGCAGTGGATTCAGCAGAAGAGTTTCACTTCAGAGACCAGAACAATTGTCTCCTGAATGCTTTATAGCTATGCAAGCAATCATAGCAGACACACAATAACTTTTAAGTTGGTGGTCAACAAGATTTCTTAGACAACCAATGAATCTACACACAAATCTTTCAGTTCTAAATGCCCTGCAATAACAGCCCAGTGCTGATAAACAGTGAGCCGTAAAGCCAGCAGGGATGAACTCCTGGGTGTTAATAGCAGGATGACTGAGCATTTTAGTAATTTTTCCTTTTTTTTTATTTTTTTTTTATTTTTTTTTTACAGGACAGCAGTGCAACAGCAAGACAAGTTACAACAAACGCTCAGAAATAATGCCTGGTCTACTAGACATCCACAGGTGAATGATCCAGGCTGCAGACCTCTACTGGAGTGGACAAGGTGGTCTCACAATGTAGGGCTGGGGACAAGCCCCTCATGCTGGGTTACACAACCTGGCATCAGAAACACTCACTGCTCTTGCTTTCTGTGTGCTGGAAGGGCTAAATCTATTAAAGCTGCAGCTGGAGACAGCTTGGGAAAATCCTGCATCACATTTGAATATGTGGGATGAAAAAGTGCCAGCATACTTGTACATCATGCCAAGCTGAGCCAGCAGAGGGTCTCAGGTTTCTTCTGTCTCTATACAATTAAGGTCGCACTCAGCATTAAAGCACTGCTCAGATGCCCAGACTTTGCAGCTGCACTGCCACACTGAAGAAGGTGCAGCTCCTTTGAACATCTCTAAGCCACCTGTCAGCTTGAGCCATGCTTTTCAAGGTGCTGGGAATTGGCTGCAGGTCACTCCTGACTGAT